ACGTGACCTGCGGACGCCGGCGGAAGGAGCATCATGGCGCTGTGGGGCCGACGGTGGCTGGCCGCTCTCAGATGGTGGGGCCCGGGAGGCGGGCGGCCTGGCCCCGCGCCGGCCCCACAGTCCCGCGCCTGGCGGCCGGTGTGTGCCGGGGCGGAGAGCGTCTGTGCTCGCGGCCTGCGGGAGCCAGGCAGGTGCGCCTCCGGAGGCCCCGGGTGGCGCGCAGGGCCCTTCAGTTCCTGACCGCGTGTCTAGTGGTGCGGTCCGCGGCAGTTCGGCCTTCTACTGGTCTGTGAAAGTCCATTACGTGGATATTTCATGACTACTTYGATCATTCACGTGTTGAAATAGTGTCTAATCTGTAGCTTTTACAAATGACGCTGTGCCRAATTACTTTGCTTGTACCTTGTTTTTTGGATAAATTCCTAGTATTGGGACTTTAGATCTAAAAGTATATGCATTTAACGTTTTAATGGCCTTCTTTACGTAAGGTCGTGCAGTTAAAACTGCCGTGTAGGTGACTACACCCAGTAACTGCCCTTTTTGGAATGCCACTCAATCCATCCCCGGGCCCTGCACATGCTAGGCAGGCACTCTGATCCTTACATGGGGAATTGAGCTTACATATGGAAAAATCTTAAGGTCCGTAGTTGTTAGGATATAAACTTAGATGCTTTGTAATGGGGGGATATTCAAGTAAATAATGGTAAATTCATCTGATACATATTGAAAGGTTAATAAAGAGATTTTCATCAAGGATAACGTTACTGAGCTCTTGTTCTGTACAGGCCCTGTTCTGGTGCTGGGGATAGAGCAGGTACCAGGACAGACACTTGCTTCTGTAGAGCCAGTTCTTATTACAGAGATTATCTGCAAGACTGGCTGCCATTAAACCAACCTTTGCCACCATTGGTTTTAACACAGAAGCTGTAGGGCTTCCTATGAGAAGCAGACTATTTGCCCAGACTTGCAGTTGGGAATTTCTTTTGCCACTAGATTTTAGATTCTTGGTGAGATGTCTAGAAGGCTCTAGAAGCCAAGACTGTTGTCTCAGGAGGCCTCCAGGGTTTCTGCAGCTGCAGTGCCTCTTGCCCTGACCTTCAGGTGCTGCTACAGGCKCTGTGTCATTTGTATTGCTTTGTTTTCTTGTCTGCTCAGATGTAGAGTCATTTACAAAGTCCTGTGGCCTCATTGAAGCCTGTGACTTGGTTTTCTATGTGTTTTGTGCCCTTTACTATGAAAGACCATTCCATACTCCCAATCTTGGCTCTTGGCTTCTGGAGGTGACTTAAGAACTTTCCAGAGCTTTGCAGTGAGAACCCTGAGCTGCAGTATACCTTCTGCCTTGCCTGATTGTGTAATTTTAGCTGCTAATCTGAGCTGCCCCCATCTGCAGACATTAAAGATGAACTCTGTGCAGCACCCTGAACCCCTGTCAGGGCATGGATGTTTCTTTCTGGAATAGTCTTTAGAGAGACCAGCTTTTATCCCAATAATATTTTGATGCAAAACCTGAGAATTACTTTAAACTCACTGTATTTTCATCACTTCCCATGTACCTTAAGGTGTGTAGCTCTGTGGAACATGTGCCCCAGAGCCTTCACAAAGAATACTTTTGGCCCTGGCTTGAGTTTCTATGAGGACTTCTTAGCACTGCTTTGATGGCCGCACTCACAAGTGATGCTTTCCTGATTACACAGTGCCTATTAACTGGAAGTTTTTGCTGCCAAATAGTYTTGATTTCTGATTTGTGACTGCTTTCTGTTTTAGCCAGTGGTCATCCATGGTGACAAAGTTGGTTGTTTTGGGGGGACTGAAGTGATGGGCATGACCTTTTTGACGGTGGGAAGGGTAGAGTGTGCTCGTTCTTGCTAGCGTGAAGCTGGTTGTCTTTCTATTCTGCATTTGCTCTCAGTATTACAAGTGGACGAAGGGCCATCTCACTGTCTGTGGGTGCTTCAGGCATCTTTGGAAGTGGAGGCAACAGTGAGAAAGAGAAACTGTCCCTGCAAGACATCGCTGAGCTGATCCGGGTGCGAGCCTGTCAGAAGGTGGTGGTCATGGTGGGGGCTGGCATCAGCACACCCAGCGGCATTCCAGATTTCAGGTACCACGGTAACCCTTGCTGAGGCTTCCCCACTCTCTCCTGGTGGGCTCAGAACCTCTTCCTTCTCACTCTGCAGATCTCCAGGGAGCGGCCTCTATAGCAACCTCCAGCAGTACAACATCCCATACCCYGAAGCCATTTTTGAACTGGAGTTTTTTTTCCACAACCCCAAGCCCTTTTTCACCTTAGCCAAGGAGCTGTACCCTGGAAACTATAGGCCCAATGCCACTCACTACTTTCTCCGATTGCTTCATGACAAGGGACTGCTTCTGCGTCTCTACACACAGAACATCGATGGACTTGAGAGAGGTGAGCCTCTGTCCTCTCCACGTCACATCTGTGCCTGTTTCCAGGTGGGGCTCTGGCTATTGCTAATACCTCATTTTTGGTGCTGTTTTGAGCCAACTAGACCTCTGTTGGGACCTCCCTGTGGGCCTGTCTTCCTGCAGAGTTGTGAGTTTTGGACAGAACTTAAGTTGACATTGTTTTGCTAATCTGGTATGAATATTTCTTTCATTTTTTTCTGTTTTAAGAAATACATGGAGCTGGGCATGGTGGTTAGGTCTGTAATCCCAGCAGTTCAGGAAACTTGAGACAGTATTGCAAATTCAAAGTCAGCTTCAGCAACTTAGTGAGGCCTTAAGCAACTTAGTGAAACTCTGTCTCACTAAGAGTTTCTGTTCTCAGGACTAAAAGGCTCAAGGGTCACTCCAGTTGAACTGGGCTGACTGGGCTGCGCAAAATAACTACACAAGAGACACAAATACCTTTTTCTTTGGGGTTGCTGTGACCGGGGGCAGGGAAAGAAGAAATCTATGGAACATACAGAAATAAAAAGTATAAGACATCCTCTGTCCTCCCACTCAGTTTCCATATCTGACACATGGCCCAGTCCTTGTTTGTCTGTTTCCCCACCTTCTTTCTCACCTCCAGGATGTTTTCAAGCAAATCCATCACATTGTAAATTTAATCTAGAAACAATCTAGAAGTAAATCAATGAGTATCTCTAGAAGATACAGACTGTAAAAAATAACTGGTACTCTCTCGAACCACTAATGGCCCCTCAGTGTTGTCTGGGTCAGGACAGCAGTGATTCACAAGAGGGGACAGGTCAGGCCATGCATCTCAGGGAAGCATCTGGGGGGACCTGGGTTAGGTGTAGTGGGGGCAGCTGCAGGGCAGTCAGTGAGCCAGCAGCAAGGTGCCTGATCCCAAGTGGTGTCTCCTTGCTCAGGAGCTGTTTCATGTGAGATGAAATCTCTGGCTTGGACTCACAGAGGCAGCAACGGCTACACTGTGGAGACTTTGCTACCGAGGGTCAGGAGAGCTGGCCTTGTGGGAAGGTGGGAGCCACCTGGCCATGAGTTTCAGCACTGCAGTTGGGACAGTGATGGGGATGTAGGAAGCCACCTGCAGGTGGAAGATTGAACACCTGAGAAACACTGAGGCAAAAATAAAAAGTTTTATTTAAAGGATAGAAG